AGTCGTCCTGGAGCTCTTTTTGATGCTCGGGCATGGGATGTGGGTCCACAACCTCGAGCTTGTGGGCCTGGGACTCGATCGAGTCGATGCACCTTGCTAGACTTTCCACTTGCTCGCTCAATCGGGCACATCTGAGCTCAATCTCCTCCTCATGTTTCGCTCGGGCCATCAATCGATCTAAGATGAGATCGAGTTTGGCATTGTATGCGGCCTTTTCTTCTCGAGCTGATTTGGACTCTATGAAATCAAGAATCTGGTCGAGCTTCTCGTTAAACTCGTGGGACTCATAAGTTTGCTCATGCTCAACTAGAAAATCGTTCCAGCACTGCTCGGAAGAATACGGGTAAGGTTGGGTGTAGTACCCAGGGAAACAGACCGACTCGTCGTTCCAAGATAGGTAGTGCAGGGAGGAGTACCCGTGATTGAAATTCATTGTACCTGCACACCAGAACCAAACAACCACGCGAAGCCAAGGAAAAAGAAGAGAAAAAAGGCAAAAAAAAAACTAAAACAAAAACAAAAGAGAAAAACACAAATGCACAAAGAAACAAAAACACTAAAAATACTAAAATAATGAGAAACACAGAAAATAAGATCAAACACCAAAACTAAATATCCTACTTGCCTTCCCCGGCAACGGCGCCAAATTTGTTGTGTACAAATTGTTATATTACCGAGTACCGAATCGAAGGATTCGTTTCCCGGGTCGATCTCTCGAGGAAGGCGGTTCGGAATTTAGAATTGGTATTGATAAAAAAAAAAAAAGAAAAATAAATCCTAAACACTCTAATCAGATTGGGGAGGAATTAACTATTAACTATTAACTAAGAAATAGCATAAAAGCATAAGTCCTAAAATACCAACTAAATAATAATAAAGAAACTAGGGAATCGGGGATAATTTATTCAAGTTCGCAACGTAAAGCCAGGCAATTGATCGTTCGGTTCGGAATTGACACTCTCGCCTACACGTCTAGCGGTTCACTCCCAATAACTCTTCGTAACAAGGAATTGAACATAGACGAGCAAGTTTGAGCATACAATACCGGCCAAGTATCCAATCCCAATAACTTTTAGTAACAAGGGATAAGACACCGAAAAGCATGTATTTCAATCCAAAACCCATAGATTATTCAGTTACGAAATCATCTATCTCATGCGAGCCTAGGTCTACGACTTCTCCCCTTTCGGTTCTAAAAGTCGCTAGTTCAATTAGAAGGTGTTTAATCAACTAATAATGTAGGATCAATAAACCCTAATTCAATCGCAAAATCGAAGTGTCACTCTTCGATTATATCAATAAATTAACCTAAGTGTCACTTTTTGGTTATATCAAATCATTAAGCAAGAATTCATCAATTCCTAATTAAATTTACTCGCACAAGAAAAAACGAATCAAGCCCGACAATTACACGTTAAACGAGAACAATCATCCCCTATCCCTAGCAGAAGGAATTAGCCACTCATATTCAATTCAACACCATCAACCACAACAATCAAAGCAATCATATTCATGGATTAACTGAATAGAAAACTTACGATTAAAACAGAATTGAGAGTTGAATCTGAAAACAAGATTAATCCGAAAGTAATGAAGAAATCCAAGTGAAAAACAAGATCAAGATGGTGTTCTTAGGGTAAGAGAACGAGTCCCAATGAAAAGTCCCCAAAAAAATGAACAAAATCGAACTTAAATTTCTGCACGTCGCGACCTCCGCGGCCGCGGTGAAGAAATCTCGCGGCCGCGACCACCTCCGAGGCCGCAACATCCACAGGCCAGAAAAGTGAATTTTCGGGCAGCTCGCAGCCGCGACTTCCTCTCTTTCACGGCCGCGGTGAAGAAAACTGAGCTGCTGCGCGCGGCTTAATGTTTCGGGCTCGTTTAGGCTCGTCCGAACTCGGAATTGAGTTTCGTTTTTTCCTACGCGTCGCTAACGAATCCCTCTATCCAATTATGCTTTTGAAACCAATTTTTCCTGAATATAAAGTTCACCCGAAGCTCCCGACCTACACACCGAAAACGACAAAACACAAAAACAACCGAAAAAACAAACGAAAAACACTTAAAGACTCAATTGAAGGAAAGCATGCAATAAACTACAAAACGAGATAAAAACTAACTAAAAGACCTAATATGGGGGAAAAAGAAAGGAAAAATAATAGGAAAAAATACAACAAAAATGGGACAAACATCATTCGGAGCACCATGCGATTTATCATGAATTTAACAATTATACAGCGACTATTCGAGTTCGATAAACCATAAACGGCACGTAACTCATTTATTTTGTCTGAGGCCTTAACCATAAGGCCAAGGACTTCCAAACGTTCCATATCCACAGTAGTTAACATGAAGTTAATTTGATCTCTCTCGATTTTACATGAATCGAAAAGATCTCAACATAAAATAAACAAAACGAATACTAAACCCTAACATGAACAATCATTGAAGCATAAACACATCACGAAAAAAATCGAAAGAGGGATAGAGCCTCAGTACAGTCCTTGAAAAATGTGAGAGAAGGGATCGAACGAGGGTGGACGACATGTCGAAAGTGGCTCGCGGAGGAGTAGCTTCTTGAGGACGACGGGAACAGGGCCTGCGCGCGGAGGGACAGCGACTCGTCGCCAGAGATACTGTTGTCGCGGAGGAGGGCTCACGACAGGAGTTGCTGTGTGACACGGGGATGAGCAGCAGTTCTGGTCGTTGGAAGTCGGGCCTGCCGGTGGCCTCGCCGGTAAAGGAAGGCAGCGAAGAAGGTCGTCGCGATGGCCAATGGCCGATGAGCGACAAGGGAGGGGTCGGCGATCGAAAAAAGCGAGAGAGATGGGTGATGGCTGCGTCGGATTTCGAGCGAGAGGGAGAGATGAGTTGCAGATGGCGAGAGAGAGATATAAGAGATTGGAAAGGCTGCGGGGCGTGTTGTGTCTTGATCGAGAGAGAGAGAGAATATAAAGACTAGGTTTTTCTTTTTCTTACTCCACAAGACACACACACACGCACGGTTAGGGGGGGGAACCTGGTCGGCCGGTCCGGTTCAGCTGGGCGTGCGGTTCTCTCGGGCCGGGGCGCGGGTTTAACTTGCGGCTTGGGTTCTCGGTTTTCGACTTTGCCAATAAATTAGCTAGGTTCGATCGCACGACAATTAAAAATAAAACCAGAACATTTATATATATATGACACACAATTTAATCAATTAATAATAATAACATTTAGACATTTAAAGACAATTAGGTATTTAATAATAATAATACTAACAAACAATAAATAATAATAATAAATAATAATAATAAATAATCCCAAAATCATTTATAAATAAATGGGGCATTACAGCAGCTCCTAAGCAGCATGTTGCATCCCAGCGGCTAGTGGCCAGCATCCAACAAACCCCACCCCAGCATCTCGTGTCCTTGCAGCGCAACGTATGCGCACAATACCTCGTTCCAGCGCGCACGCCTCGAGCCTTGGCAGCCACAAAGCCGTCCGCAAGAAGCCCAGCGAGGCCAGCCGTAGCACTGGGGAGAGCCGGGCCGCGTTGAGCAGAGGAGCACCCACGGGCGACCTGTAGCATCCACGTCCAGGCGACCGGTGCGAGACGCAATCAAGCCCTGCCGATGCCCAATTGTATCGAGCCCACACTGAACCACTTGCCCGAGCCATTTTGAGCCACGAGCAACCTTTTTGAGTTTTGAAAATATTTTCGATCCAAACCTTAATTTTTTAGTTCCAAAAACTGTTTCGAGTTTTTGAAATGCCTTTATTTGAGAGTTCCAAATTTAAGAAATTTTTCTAAGCCAAGAACCTTAATCTAAGAAAGTATTCAAGTTGGTAAATTAATTTTAACAAGTTCAGTTAAATATTTCTAAGAGTTATGCTTCTAAAAATGTAGATTCCGAGCAGTCGAGCCATCGAGTTTCCACTGAAGCATCTACTCTTCTTCATCATCCGTATATTAGGTGGAGAAGTCTATGCTATGTTTTAATTCTGTATAATTATTGTGGTATTTATGGTTGTTCTATGTTTCATGAAAATTTTTGCCTATGAGGCGGCATTTGCCTTTGAGACGGTGAATTATGAACTTTCATATGAAACAACATTTGCCTATAAGAGGACATATTAAAAACTTGCCTATGAGACGGCATTCGCCTATGAGACGGCGTATTATGAACTTGCCTATGAGACGACGTTCGCCTATGAGAAGGCGTAGTATGTACTCGCCTATGAAATGACGTATTAAGTATAAACTTTCCTATGAGATGGCATTATGATCAGATATTTGTGTTTCATGGTAATATCATATTTATCCGTTAATTATATTGAATAACTGCATAGTATAGGCTCAAGGTGGGGTAGTTGTTTTGCTCACCCCCCACAACTACCATTTTCAGGTTGAGCAGTTAGACGTGGACATGGAAGGGCAGTGGTGGTCGATTATGCTTTATGTTATGTTTTCCGCAAAACGTTTACAAACTCTTGTTTTTATCTTGCTTTGTGAACGTGATTGAGTTTGTGATTTTTGAGACTATGTGCTTTTCAATTCAAGACTAAGTATTTTGAATGTTATGCTTATCTTAAATTGGTTAAAAGAGAATATATGAGATTATGAGATGTGATTTCTCTAAGAATTGTGTGTGGCTTGGGTTAAAAAAAGAACAGAAAGAAAAGAAAGGAAAGAACAAAATAAGTTTTAGAAAGTTTGAAAGAAAAATTTTAATAGTGCTCAAGAAAAATCTTTTATTTTGAAAGCTTAAATTATTTCTGAAAAATCCTAGTATTTTCTAAAGATAATTAAGTCGGCACTACAACCAACCCAAACCCTCCAACTACTGAGGGAACACTGTCTTCCTAAGGTAGACGATCGATTTGAGCTGGATCTACGATTGTGTGGTCCTCGACTCCCGGCGGTGTTCCCCGAGGGCCGGTGGGCCACCTGGTCCAGCAAAACTAGAGGCTCAATCTCTAGGGGATGACTAGATTAAGATGTGGATTGTTTGGACGATATGTTGGCTGATCGCGGCGTCGGTGATGTATACTTGTTGCATTTGGACGTTATAGGGACTAGGAGATTGTGGAACGTGTGAAGATCACGGACATCAGCAGACAGTGGAAGTTGTGGATTGGCGAGGATGGGGTGATGCAGTTGAAAGGGATGAAGGAGGGTGATCAGAATTGAAGGTGTTGGAGCATAGGGGGCGACTATAGACGCTGAGGATGCGAATGTGGTTACTGACGAGGGCAGAGGCAGAAGAGATGGTGACAGAGATGTTGTACTTCGAGATTACATTTGGTTTTTGGTGCGGTGGCATCAGGAGCAAGAGCAACAACAGTACGAAAGTAAGGGTAGATATATGCGTGCAGCCAGAGGTGAAAAAGAGGTTGGCAATGAATGTTGGAATGTCTAGTATGCCCTCCACTATTATATAATCCTGACCCCTTTTTGTCGTTGTATGATCAATAACTACTTGCACCGCCGTGCGATGCACGGGAGCATTTATTACCTATTTGTTTTATAAAAAGTATTTTTGTATTTAAATTGTCTCATGGCATTAGAAATATCATGAAAATAAAAATTTATATGTTATTAAACATTTCCTTATTTACAACATTATTGGTTTGATTCATTGGCACGTAAAATACTATTGTTGGTATGAACTTGATAAAAAAAATCATATGAACTTACCAAAATCTTGGTAAAACATGTTTAAGAAAAAACATAAGAATGTAAAAAAATCGATGCATTTAAGTTTTGAAAAGTTGCACAGAATTTTTCCTAAATAATTGGATAAGGTGACTTTAAATATCAAAGATGAACCGCTTTTGTTACCAAAAAATGTGGACACAATTTTGAATTTACATCCCGTCCAAATATCAGTTTTATTCTAAAATAAAAATTGCACGTGGTTTTATCCAATTTACATACTTTTTTTTTTAAAGAAAATATTATTCAATAATATTGGAAGAATTGGTTAAAAATTATAGAACTATTTGTTTCCTAAATTTGTATCCAATTTGTACGATTTTTAAGTTAATTTATATTTAGAATTGTTTTCATAAATAATTGACACATTTTTTGCATAAAAATCTCCAAATTTGTTACAAAAAAAATATATGATTTAAATTTTGGTAAAAAAAAATAAAATATGATACGAAAAAAATAGAATTCAAATTTTTCCATAAGAATCTCCAAATTAATTAGTTACAAAAAAAAATAGGATTCAGATTTTGTTACTAAAGATTCACATGTATTTTTTTTTTAACTTTCTATTAATAGTAAGTCAAACATTATATTTATTTGGTCAAACTTTCTATTAATGTATTTTTCCAACAACCTCTTTATATATATATATAGATATAGATATAGATATAGATTATTCTTTCTTATTTCTTCCCCTAACTATTTGCTTTGGAACTTATATGTCGCTCTCTGTAAGATACAACTATATTTTGGTGTTAATAATTTGGATGATGTGCCACTGTTGGGACACACTAAATTGTACCTACAAATGGATATGTACTCGAGTTTCGTTTATATCATTGGACGTTTATGCGAAAACGAATAGGTGTGGGAGCATCTCTTATCAGTTTTCTAAGAAACCAGTAAGTGGGTTTCATAATACAAACCGGATGCCTACGTGTAACTTATGTGGCATCTAAGTGGATTTTAGATTAATGTAATAACTATTTATGTTAATCTTTTATTAATTAAATTAATAAATAATTTTCTCTCTCCTTCTTTTCCATTACGCACGACGCTTGAAATCGCTAAGCTTTCACTTCCACTTCCCACCAAAGTGTGAAAAACTATAGGTTTGCTTATGCTTGAACTCGATTCCATACGTCTTCAACTAAGAGAGAAAACTCTAATCACGATGGCTTCTTCTAGTAAGATTTTATATTATTTCTAGGGTGTTTTTTTCAAGTATTGTTCAATTCATGTTAATTGCTACTGTAAGAGAAATTAATTAGTTACAAAAAAAAAAAGGATTTATTACCTATTTGTTTTATTACCTATTTGTTTTATAAAAAGTATTTTTGTATTTAAATTGTCTCATGGCATTAGAAATATCATGAAAATAAAAATTTATATGTTATTAAACATTTCCTTATATACAACATTATTGGTTTGATTCATTGACACGTAAAATACTACGTATGTGTTCGAATTTTACCTAAAATTGTATATTATTAGTTATTAGTTAACAAAATTTAAAAAATTTTAGTACCAATAACCCGATTTTTTAGGGATTTTTAGAAAAAGAGAAGAAATCTTTAGGGATTTTCACCCATTATTTATTTTAAATTTAATTCTAAATTTCAATTAAGAAAAATTAAAAAGAATCATTAATTACTCCTGAAAATGAAACCGATTTTCCTACCAATAACCCGATTTTTTTATCAAACAAACTGATCCGAATATTTTTTAAAACCAATTACAAAAATCATCAATTTTTCCTAAAAATGCAACCGAATTTTCCTAACACTGCACCGGTTATTTTACCAAACAAATTGAATTGAAAATAATTTTAATAAAAAATTAAAACAATTTGTTAATGTTTATGCAACTGTCTCTTTTCTAAAGAAAATGATATGAACTTGATAAAAAAAATCATATGAACTTACCAAAATCTTGGTAAAACATGGTTAAGAAAAAACATAAGAATGTAAAAAAATCGATGCATTTAAATTTTGAAAAGTTGCACAGAATTTTTCCTAAATAATTGGATAAGGTGACTTTAAATATCAAAGATGAACCGCTTTTGTTACCAAAAAATGTGGACACAATTTTGAATTTACATCCCGTCCAAATATCAGTTTTATTTTAAAATAAAAATTGCACGTGGTTTTATCCAATTTACATACTTTTTTTTTTAAAGAAAATATTATTCAATAATATTGGAAGAATTGGTTAAAAATTATAGAACTATTTGTTTCCGAAATTTGTATCCAATTTGTACGATTTTTAAGTTAATTTATATTTAGAATTGTTTTCATAAATAATTGACACATTTTTTGCATAAAAATCTCCAAATTTGTTACAAAAAAATATATGATTTAAATTTTGGTAAAAAAAATAAAATATGATACGAAAAAAATAGAATTCAAATTTTTCCATAAGAATCTCCAAATTAATTAGTTACAAAAAAAAATAGAATTCAGATTTTGTTACTAAAGATTCACATGTATTTTTTTTTTAACTTTCCATTAATAGTAAGTCAAACATTATATTTATTTGGTCAAACTTTCTATTAATGTATTTTTCCAACAACCTCTTTATATATATATATAGATATAGATATAGATATGGATTATTCTTTCTTATTTCTTCCCCTAACTATTTGCTTTGGAACTTATATGTCGCTCTCTGTAAGATACAACTATATTTTGGTGTTAATAATTTGGATGATGTGCCACTGTTGGGACACACTAAATTGTACCTACAAATGGATATGTACTCGAGTTTCGTTTATATCATTGGACGTTTATGCGAAAACGAATAGGTGTGGGAGCATCTCTTATCAGTTTTCTAAGAAACCAGTAAGTGGGTTTCATAATACAAACCGGATGCCTACGTGTAACTTATGTGGCATCTAAGTGGATTTTAGATTAATGTAATAACTATTTATGTTAATCTTTTATTAATTAAATTAATAAATAATTTTCTCTCTCCTTCTTTTCCATTACGCACGACGCTTGAAATCGCTAAGCTTTCACTTCCACTTCCCACCAAAGTGTGAAAAACTATAGGTTTGCTTATGCTTGAACTCGATTCGATACGTCTTCAACTAAGAGAGAAAACTCTAATCACGATGGCTTCTTCTAGTAAGATTTTATATTATTTCTAGGGTGTTTTTTTCAAGTATTGTTCAATTCATGTTAATTGCTACTGTAAGAGAAATTAATTATAGTTTTTATTTTTGATGGTGATAATTTTTTTTCTTGCACAAGTAGTTAGCAAAAGTACACTGAATATATTTGGAATGAATTGATTGCCATATACAAGCACAACGTGAAAATCAATTTTGGAAATTGGAATTTCTTAAACTTGGTTTGTTCTTGTTCAATTAATGTTAGATTGTTAATGTAAGACTACTGAATAAATAACGAGTTTAATGGTTACTGTAAGCCTACTGAATAGATTGTTATCTTTTTTTTTTTCATCTAAATTAAGACTTTAACATGTGGATTATTATTATTTTCTATAGGCATGCAGGTCGAGCAAGACGATCAAGAGTTTACTACTCAAGTCGATCAGGCCAAGATACCCCATGAAGGTTTGGAATTTCAGACGTGGGAAGAGGCTCGTGATTTCTACAATTCGTATGCGAAAGAAACAGGCTTTAGCACTCGTACTCAAAATTGCAAAAAAAATAAACAAACCAATATGTTTGTGTGGAAGATGTTCGCTTGCTCGAAGGAAGGGAAAACAAATGAATTCTACGGAAATAAACGCAAAAATGTTGTGGTTCGAACCGGAGAAAGGAAAAGGGGAGAGACGAGATGTGGTTGTCCAGCTCGGATGAGTGTTTGCAGAATCAAAGAAATTTGGGTTGTGAAGTATTTTATAGAACAACATAACCATCCATTGGTTACCCCTAGGAAGGTTCATTTACTTAGATCCCATCGTGATGCGTCGGCTACGAAACGAGCACTAATGCAAGAGTATACAGAGGCAAACATTTCGACCTGCCAGCAAGTTAGGTTGTTTGAGATTGATGCTGGGGTTCCGTCCATGATGGGATGTTTCGAGAAGGATATCAGGAATGAAGAAGCTGCGCATAGAGCTGAATTGAATAAACATGATGCGCACACAATGATTCAGCAATTTGAAATGGAAAAGGAAAGGAATGAGAATTTTTTTTATGTTTATGAGACCGATGGTGAGGGAATTTTCATGAGGTGCTTTTGGGCCGATTGCGAATCAAGAAATTCCTATGCATTGTTTGGTTACACAGTTGCCTTTGATACTACGTATAACACAAACAAGTATGGAATGGTGTTTGCGCCCTTTGTTGGTGGGAATCATCATAGGCAGACAACGGTGTTTGGGGTCGGCTTGCTTAGTGATGAGAAGAGCGAGTCTTTTGTGTGGTTATTAACTAAATTCTTAGAAGCAATGCCAAACCAACCTCATCCAAATATCATTATAACTGATCAAGATGCTGCTATATCTCTTGCTGTGAGTGAGGTATTTCCAAATACTATTCATAGGTATTGTATTTGGCATATATTAAACAAGTTCTCGAAGAAACTCGGTCCCATTGTTTATAAACTGCATCACCATAGTTTATCTACAATTGTGAATGATTCAGAAACTCCCACCGAGGTTGAGTGTAGGTGGAATTCATTGATGAATGATTCTCAATTGAGTGCTAATGATTGGTAATTCAAAATGTATGAAATTCGGCATCGTTGGGTTCCGGCTTACATAAAACATGTCTTCTCTGCCGGTATGTCAAGTAGCCAGCATGTTGAGAGCAATCATGCACTCTTCAAGAGGTACCTCGACAAGAAATGTTCATTGAATGACTTTTTCACACGTTTTAGCAGGGCTATTTCACACCAACGACATGAAGAGTTGATGGCTGGCCACATCGATTTTCATGAGAAACCAAGGATTAACACTACGTTTGCAATTGAAAACCAAATGGCTAGAATCTACACGAAAACCATATTTTTATTGTTCCAGGCTGAATTTGAGAAGAGTTCTAGCTACATATGCAAATTGATGACGAGCACCAGCGAAAGCCGCATTTATGAGGTTTGGCGGTTTGATATGGAGGAGACAAATCAACGTCGACGACATTTAATATATCATGTGGCCGAGGATCTCTTAACTTGTAGTTGTAAACACTTTGAGTTTGAAGGATATCTTTGCCGGCACATGCTATGTTGGATGAGGGTCGAACAAGTGATGCTCGTATCGAAAATGTACATTAAAGAAAGATGGACGAAGAATGCAAACAACAACCTTGTTTATGCAACGTCACATAATCTTGTAGCAGGCCAGTCTATCCTAGGTAGACGGGGGACATTGATGCAGTTAACACGAGAACTCATAGATGAAGCATCTTTAACAGAGGGCAGGAGCAAATTTCTTATGGAAGAAATCAAAGTTTTGAAGATTGAGATAGGTGGAATTGATGCAGAAGAATGCACAACTAGCACTTTGAGCAGAATAAAAAGTCAGCATGAGATTGTTCGAGTAAGCGATCCCGAGCCTGTACGTACAAAAGGTTGCGACAAACGTCTAAAATCAGGAAAAGAAAAATCCATGTTGCAGAGTTCCCGAACATGTAGTTTCTGCCATCGAACAGGCCATGATAAACGCAAATGTCCTGACTTGTCAGTCTTGGATAATAATATTTCGACAGACCTCTAAGGTGGTATGACTTTTAATGTACAATTTGATTTCTAGGGCTTGGACTGAAGCTATATATGAGGCATTTGATCTTGATTATTTGTTGTTTTAATTTCATATTTTTAATTTTTAATTTATGTATTTTTCTAATTTATTAGTTGTATATGATAATGTTATGTGATTGGGAATGAGTGTTGTGTTTGTGTATTTGTGTTCCACTAATTGGGTTATGCCATTAGCACTTTTCTGAATGTTTGCTTTTTCTTTGTGTAGGCAATTATTTATCTTCTTTGTTTTCGGATGAGACAAATTGTAGCCATTAAGGCCATTGCAGGTGAATGTTTACCGTTGCTTTCGAGAGCTCTGAAAAACTGCTTTGTGTTCTGTACATTGTTAATGACTCGCATAGTAATTAGTATCTCTGATATAAGGTTACATTGTTTGCCAGGTATGTAGAAGAAGTTCTTCAACTGGTGAAGGCAAATGGTGTATTTTCTCTGCCCCAAAGTTCCGTTGAGAAAATACTCATAGTCGTCTCGCAATTCAGAAATATGTTCAAGATAGAAACCAAACATTGTCCCCCTTTTAGTTCTTTTTACCTCTTTTTTATTCGAGCTTCTTTACTTCTCCCATTTGAAATTATATCTAGCTAAATTATAGACTACTTTTTATTTATTATGTGGTATTATGTGATTTTAGCTCTTTTGATCAGTTTACAGTTCAATTTCTTTCTGTTTGTAAAGCCTCAAATTGTTATGTGAAATTACTTTTCAGTGCAAAATTTATGAAAATGTAAATACTCCCATGTCAATGGCCATGGACAGAGATGATGTTAAATGTAGAAAAAAGATTAGCTATGAATTTGTTAATTAAATACCAAGAAAAAAAATGGAGGTTGAATACATTTTCACCTAATATAACAATATGTACTATAACAAACAACTTTGGTAATAGTTAATCTGCAAAACTAGCCTGCCCCGACAAATATTTACTAAACAAAGAGCAATCATTTAAAGGGTATTACGTAACATTGGACGAGTATAAGACAACAAGTTTTCAGGTCGAGTAGACATGCTTGAGTGTCATCGTGAGTGCCTTCAATCTCGGCAAACTGGAGGCTGAGCTTAGAGTGCCGGCCGTGCATGTTTCACATTCTTGTGTACATGTGATCAACCTACTGCATATGTACACATCATCCCTGAACCATTATTCCCGCTCGAGCGACCCTATTCGGGCCACAAGACTGTATGGTTCCTCTATCTGGCCATATGTTTCCCGATATCAATTCGACAAATAGCTCCATGGCATCCTCAACACGACCATTTTTGGCAAAGCCTGAGATTATGACATTCCAAATAATTGCGTTTTTCCCTTCACCCGATCGAACAAGGAGTTGTATCTTCCACGAGCCCGCATTTCTCATCTAGAGAAGTAAGCGCGATTTGCAGGTCTTGGCTCGGGTTCAAATCTCATTTTCACAGCAAATCCATGGATGTATACTTTTCCCTGGCTAAGCCCATCAATATCGGAAGACGCCTAGAGAACATTAACCAAAGCTATCAGGTCAGGCTTCACATTCCTATTGTCACTCAAGTTGTCGAAAACAACACACGACCATTCTATACGCACCAGACATATCAAAGCCTCGTATCATCAAATCATTAAAATTGTTCCTGGAATTTCCATTGGCAAATAATTGAATCAAACAACTGGCTTTCAGGAAAAAGAACTAAAAGGCTTTCATGAATCAAACAACATGATCCCTTTTTGTGGAAACAAGTCATCCGTTAGGCCGTGCTTGATCCAAGGCCTGTAGGCCTGCACAGTGGGAAGGCAAATTTGACCGGGATAAGTCGGGCCCACTGCATTCCGAGTACATGCCGAGAATCACTGGACAAGAGGTCTCAGTTCTTTAGGTGCTTGGACGCGGTTCTCCAGCCAAAGCTCGGTGCTGAAAGGCTGCTCGCTCTAGAGTACGCTCAAAAACCTTGTATGCTCGTCTCAACCGTGGTTGGTCTGCTCTCGGTCGCCGACGGTCTGCTTTGCCGAGGAGATCTGCTTCAGCCGGGTACAGGGGCTGGTCTGGGTCGCTCGGGTCCGACTCGCCTCGCCGGTAACTGGTGCTTCGACCGCCGGTTGCTGCTTGAGTGACGGTCTTCTTCCACCAAGGTTTGCTGCTGGAATTGCTCTTGCCTGGGGAAGAACTTTAGGAAATTTTGAGAGTGGAATTGGTGTGGAAAAACTAGGGCCGACAGGCCGAGAAATTCAATTTGTCCAAGAGTAAAAGATAGGTCGGGAAATTCGTCGACCAATTGACGGGCATAGTCGATTCGTCCAAGAGGAGCATTGAATTTCTATGGAATTAACAGATTGGGATTTTTTATGAGAAATTTGAATAGAGGATTTTTTGCTTCTGAATTGTAGATGATATTTTTTTTTTTTGAAACGATAGAAGCGATATATATATATATAACTCAAGCCACGAACAATGTCCGAATACAACATAATATCCAACTAGCCGAAATACAAGAATGAGAGGACACGTTAAGATAACGGCCTAAAGCTCAAATAGAACAACCAAACTAAAACAAAGAGAGCAAACTCACCACTGCAAAAACTTCCTAGCAAGTACACCCACTTCACAGCAGAAAAAACAACCAAAGCAAGAAACCAAAAAAGAAAGAAAAAAGAAGGAAATCAAAAGCTTCAGCCCTTCAGTGAACAGAATTCAAGCCATTCCTTGTGAGCAGTCTTGATCACAACATGAATAGGCATGATGTTCTTCTCGAATATCCACAGGTTTCTCGACCTCCAGAGCCACCAAAGGAGATAAGTTGTGAGTTGAATTCTATCCTCGGCCACTGGAGTCTTATCCAAAGTACAAAGTTGCCACCACCAAGACCTGAAAGTATAGTTTTGCATATCAGCCTCATCCCACTGTATAGGACACATCTGCCACAGTAGTTGTGCTCTTGGGCAGCAGAAGAGCACATGTTCGATTGTTTCAGGAGCTTTCCCACAGCAGGGGCATAGAGCATCCATAGCAACTCCTCTTTTCAGCAGTAAAGTTCTGACAGGTAAGGAACCAGAATAGCACTTCCAGAGGAAATGCTTGATAGTTCCCTTTATCTTTAGACCCCAACTTCTCTGTCTTGCTTTGCTACCAACAAATTGATGAGTACTAGGACCAGGGATGTCTAAGTGTTGGAGTTTTTGCTTGATGAGGTAAGAGTAGGTTGAAGACACAGAAAACTGTCCTTTTGAATCAAAGCTCCAATAATGTCTGTCCTGCTGCCTTGGATTAAGGGTCTTGATATTGAGAATGGCTTGACTCTCTTCTTCATTAAAAAGCTGTTTTACCAGCCATGAATTCCAGTTGAGTCCTCCATCCAGCAGTAGTTCCTTGACCCAAGTGATGTGCCCTCTAGCAATGTTCAGGAGGTTAGGTCTGTGGGAAGGCATTCCAGGTATCTAGTTGGTGTCCTCAATTATTGTATTTTCCTCACTTCTAATTTCTATTCTCAATCCTTGTGCAAGTATAGGAAGGCAGTCCAACCAAGTATGCCATAACCAAGAGCCATCTTGAGTTTTAGTCACATCAAAGATGGAGCAGTTGGGGAAATACCTGTCCTTCAATACTCTGGACACAAGAAGACCTGGCTCAGTGATCACTCTCAAAAGTTGCGTACAGATCAGGGCCATATTGAACAGCCTCACTTCTTTAAACCCAAAACCTCCTTCTTCCTTAGGTAATGTCACGAATTTCCATGCCTTCCAATGGATACCTCTCTCATGTGTGTCAGTTTTACCCCACAATCTGAGCAGTAATACTGGAAATGGCTTTGCAAATAGAAGCTGGTAGTTTGAAACAGGACATAGTAAAGACAGGCAAGGCATCAATAACAGCTTTGATGAGTGTTTCTTTACCTGCAGTGGATAGGAATTTGTTTTTCCAGCTTCCAATTCTTGATTGAACAGTTTGAAGGACAAAGGAGAATGTCTCTTTTTTGGATTTGCCAATTCCAAGAGGGAGCCCCAGGTACATTGTTGAAGTGTGGATTTGGATACCATTCAGAGTAGAGCAGATTTGAGCTTTCAGAGATGTGGTGGTGTTTCTACTTAAGAAAATAGATGACTTGTGAAGGTTAACTCTCTGATCAATAAAAAGCCTGTATCTTTCCAGTAGATTTATCAACACTTGTACTTGATTGATCTGAGCCTTACAGAAAAATATGGCATCATTTGCAAAAAGCAGATGTGAAAGAGCAGGCCCATTTTTGGAGAGTTTAAGCCCCATCAACACATTTCTATGAACAACATCAGAGATCAGTGCAGAGAGCATCTCAGTAACAATAATAAAAAGGTAAGGGAATAGTGGGTCCCCCTGCCTTATTCCCCTTGAAGGATAGATCACCCCACTCAGAGAGCCATTAACACAGAAGGAGAAAGAAGAGGTAGACACACATACCATCAAGAGCTTCACAAATTTCTGGCAAAAACCCATCTGAATCATAATTTTCTCTAAACAAATCCACTCCACCCTATCAAAGGCTTTCATTAAATCAAGCTTCAGAGCCATAAAGCAGTTTTTTCCTGATCTATGCCTGTTAAGAACATGAAATGCTTCTTGTGCCAAGATGACATTGTCTAATAATTGTCTGCCCTGGATGAAGACAGATTGACAAGTACTAATACAAGATTCTAAACACTTCTTCAATCTCAAGGCCAACAATTTAGACAGGATCTTATAAACCACACTACACAAAGAAATGGGTCTGTATTGAGTTAAAGAATCAAGGTTATGGCATTTGGGAATTAGAGTCACCAGAGTATGGTTCCAATATTGCAGAAGCAACCGGGAGTCAAAAAAACTTTGAATAGCAGCAATTAAATCAGCATGGATAATTTTCCAGAAGTGCTGGTAAAAAAAGGAGTCATACCCTCTTCTCTTAGGGATTTGTGTGGCTGAAGGCTGAAGAGCGCAATTTTAATCTCCTCTGCTTCAATAGGACTAAGGAGGGCCAGGTTCATATCCTCAGTGATAGTTTTGGGAATGAGGTGCAGCATGGATTCTCCCCCCCAAGAACCCTCAATTGTGAATAGATCTGAATAGTAGCTGGAGATGTGCTGTTCAACCTCAGACTGGGATTGGTAGAGATTGTCCCTATCATCAATGAGCCTGGAGATTGCATTTTTCCTCCTCCTATGAAGAATAAAGGCATGGAAGAATTTGGAATTAGTGTCTCCTTCTCTTAGCCAGTTGAGCCTGGCTTTTTGCTGCCAATATTTCTCCTCAGCAGTATGAGCTTGCTCAAGTTCATTGTGCACAGTTGACCAAGTATCCCAGTTGTCACTAATACCAGCAGCTCTCAACTCCTCCAGTTGTTTAGACAAAGATTCAATTTTTGCCTGATTCTGAGATTTGAACTTGGAGCTCCATTGTAATAATGCCAATCTGGTGGATTTCACCTTCTCTTTTAATTTGAAGAAAGGAGTGCCCAATTGAGGCTGAGACCAGGCACTCTGAACCACTTCAATAACATCTTCCCTTTCAATCCATCTTCTGTCAAAGGCAAATCCTTCTTTTCAGAAGGATAAGCGAGTGGTCTGAAGCACTCATGGCAATATTCAATACAAAAGCATTGGGGTAGGTGTTGAACCACTCATAAGAAGCAAAGGCTTTATCAAGCTTTTCTTCAACAAAACCCTCAGCATCCCTGTTGTTGGCCCAAGTGTACTGGTAGCCTATCATACAAACCTCATCCATTTCCATATTCTGAATGAAAGAGTTAAAAGGGGCAAAGCTAAGCTCATTTCTGATTCTACCACCCTTCTTCTCTTCCATTGAACTTAGGTCATTCCAATCACCAATCAAGAACCAGGTATCACCCCATGAGAGCTTATCTACTTCCAGGGTTCTCCATTGCTCTGTTCTAACTACTCTGTCAGTGCTCATGTAGATGAAAATACCCCAACCTTTATCTACATTATCAATCTTAAAGTTAACAGCAATGTAGAAGTCAGTGGAAATTAGATGAATGATCTCCACTTCAGGTTTCCAAAAAAGAACTAATCCTCCACTTAGCCCTCTTGGATCAACAATGGCCAGCCTATCTTCAAACCCCAATTTCCTGCTAATAGACTTAATGTAAGTGCTAGATTTTTTTGTTTCAGAGAGAAAAAAGAAGCTTGGGTAGTGAGACCTAAAAGTCTCTTTGATTTGGGAAATTGTAGAGGGCCCACCCAGCCCTCTACAATTCCACACCACAGCTAACATTTATCAGTTGGGTGCCACTCGAGGCTGGCATCCCCCACCTTATCCAGAACCACTTTAATTTTTTTGGATGAAGCAAGAACTAGCATCTTTCCTTCATCTTCCACTTGGTGATTATCAATATCAGGTCTACCCCTCTTACTTCCTGGAGTTGCCTCTGCTGGGTTAAGAGGCTCTGAACTCCTTTGAAGTCGTCCCACGTTCTTGTCTGATTTCCTCCACTTTTTAGAAGTTGTCTGTGTTATTTTAGGGAGGCAATTGTCCTTCTGGGGTATCTGACTGGAGGTAACACCTACTTCAATATCCATTAGCCTAGCGACATCAAGATCCTGATATTTAATGGCTACAGATGGAAGATTGTGTGAGGGTTAAGAGGAGTCCATTACATCCTGAGCCATTGGAACTTGAATAGGAATATGCTCCTTAATAGAGTTAGAAGCTACCATCGCCGGGTTAGAGGGAGAAGATGGAGGAGAGTTCACAAGAGGATGTTTTGGAACTTGAACAATCTGCTTACCTCTTATCTGTTGGCTAGAGGAGCTCTGAGGGGGAGATTTATTACCAGTTGTGGGGGTATTACCAAATTGTTGAGAATGTCTTGAGTCAGAGTTACTAAAATCATTCCAAGCTTGCCCCTCTGTAGCTTTAATCCACTCCCCGTATTGGCCTTGTTTCAGGGATTTACTGCGGATATCTTCAAGTCTCTTGGAGTAGTTCCAGTCTCGGTGACCAATAAAACCGCAATAAAAACATAAGTTAACCAGTTTCTTATATTTGAAGCACACACAAACAGCTTGGTCACCAAGACGTATGTTGGCACACTAGGCAAAGGTTCTTGCAGGTCGATGGTTACAAGCAATCTAAGAAATCTGCCACC